ATTCTGTTGGTTTTTACTACTGCTTAAGTAGCTAATATCCATTTCTTTAAAGCCCAGAAGAAAAAAAAATACTATCAGTAAAAGGAGTTACAGTAAAATACAATAGTATATTACAGAAGCCTATCTCTTTCTTCATTCTATTAGCTTATAAATGGCAAAGAAATTTTTCTGACAACAACATGAAAGCAAAACTTGAGACCATTCTGTTGGTTTTTACTACTGCTTAAGTAGCTAATATCCATTTCTTTAAAGCCCAGAAGAAAAAAAAATACTATCAGTAAAAGGAGTTACAGTAAAATACAATAGTATATTACAGAAGCCTATCTCTTTCTTCATTCTATTAGCTTATAAATGGCAAAGAAATTTTTCTGACAACAACATGAAAGCAAAACTTGAGACCTATAAAACAATCAGCAACACACATTTTTGGAACGCTTCTGTCAAAACAAGCATTGATGTCAACAGCTAAAGGCAGTAGATATGCTTGCAACAGAGCAAGAGGAGAGGAGCAAGAGGAGAGGAGCAAGAGGAGAGGAGAGGCTGGCTGATACTTTACAGGAAAGGGCTTATTTCCCATTTCAATACAATGTTAATTTAAAATCAGATGTTGCAAATTTGACACACATCTGACTCAGATCTAGGTAAAGACATTCTAAAAACAAAAACCTGATGACTAAATATCTTACCTGTTTTCCCAGTTGACGTGCACAGATTGGACATGGCTCTGGGTTAACTCCCCCAGTAGTTTTATCCTGAGACTATAAAGTAGGAAAAAAAAAAAAGCCACTTTGTGTTTCAACAAATAAAAAGTTATATTTAAAACAAGCTTCTAGAAAAAATGAATAATGAAGTCCTTAAAAAAAAGTGTGTGAACAAATTAAAAAACATCATTCTATGAATAAATAAGTCTATCTTGAGTTAAAAAAATATGCAATATATGGTAAGTAGAAGGAGCACTGTTCATGCTGCAGTCCTTTACATAGCATCTGCATCTCTACCACAGCCTTGAAAAATCCTGGTAAAATACAAGCTTCAAACAAGAACCTCCTCGTATTTTCTATCAGCTTTACATTGTTATAAAAACACTTAAATATACTTAATAATGCTTAACTACGCTTACTTAAGCATAATTGTACTTACTTGAACACTATGATTAAAATAATGTAACATACATGGGGTTTGTCTGGTTTTATTTACACTTATTTAACCTACAGACCTGCTTGTCCTTCTGTTTAAGAAGGTAAACTCTTTGTAAAATAGAAAGGGTATGTGGAGAGGTACATAATTTTACAATGCTTCTACTAAACATGGCCCAGTTAGTTTTAATGAAAGTTTTAATCATCTAAAACTAGTTCATAGTTTTATAAGTGTGTAATTAAGCAAATTGCCAAAATATATAATGTAATAAATCACTTTATGACTATGCAGTAACACAAAGAACAACACACTGTATTCCAACATGTAATGAATCTTTACAGAAAATACATTCTCTTTAAAATGTAAGTATTAAATAAAAATAATGGTAGGTTTCTTCTACTAGGTAAATAGAGCACATCACTTTGGTAAAGACCAAGGAACCATAAACCTTACTTTCTCCAAGTTAGTGAGATACAGAAGTTGTCCTAATTTCTTTTGAAGTTGTGATTTGGCAACTGCCTTGTCATTCAAAAGTTTCACTCGATTTTGCTCTACCTACAGAAACAGTATTAAACACGTATTAAAAAAAGAAAAAAAAGTTTAAGTTTTACAATAAGGCTTAAATTAATTTTTTTGGCAAAATTCAACTGAATAATTCGTTGGGGACAGATAGAAGAACAGTTCATTCTATAAATTTAAGATGCACTTCTCCCCAAGCAAAATTGATTATCTATTCCTTTCCTGTACCCAGTATGAACACAGAACTGTGAATGGGCTGAGACCCAGGAGGTATACAAACTTGCTCTTTATGGTTTTATTTGCATTATTGGTTCTTTCCAGAGACAAAACCAATTTAAAATACCTTAATTTTTTAAAGGTTTCTTTCAAATTTCATTCAATTTATCATCTATCTTCTTACAGCCAAATAGACTCTAGACTCTACTGCTGGATCCAAAAACAATGTGTACGAAATAATTAATTACTTTCTTTATACTTCTTAGAAGCTTTCACTTTTCATTTAACCTATACAGAGATAGAAACATCAAGCTGTCTCCTTTTTAAATTAATTACAGTTGGTAGTGGTGTAGTTATTAATACTGCAGAAGAGGCAAGCACCTGAAGGATGAAGGCCAAAGTAATGGGTGTGTCTTTTGTTGTTGCAAATACATACATAAATTCTAGACTTTGTTAAACATTTGTTAAGCAAAGCGCTCCATATTAAAAATTGCTTTAATACACACATGAAATATCTATTTCCCTA